TCCCAACCCTGGCACATGACCTCTGTGCCTCAACCAGGGCATGGGCAAGTTCCCCAATCACTCAAGGCCCAGTGCACAGGTCACCTCTCCTGGCTCTCTCCCCTCAACCCCCAGCTTGCTAAGCAGAGCTCTCGGTACAGACCCTTATCATAGTATGTAACACTCAGGGTTATAATGACATGTTCCCAAGTCTGTCTTCTCCAAGGGTCTGGGATTTCCTCAATAACACAGACCATGTCTCACTCATCTTTGAACCCTCAGTGGAAAACTAGATGTTCAAATAATACTTACTGAATAAATAAATGCCCCTCATTCCAAGGGGCGACCCAAAATAAGGCTAGTAGCCAATATCTCTAACTGATGACACACACGAGAAGCTGTAGGTGTTGGGTGTGTGCTCAGCTCCTCCAGCCAGCTGTGCAGCAGGCCCCTTTCCTAGGTTCACAGGAAAGAGAGAGCCCCAGATGGACAGGAGGCTTGGCAGGGCTGGTCTGAAACCCACACATCAGCGCAAGCCTGGGGTGCTGAGGAAACACTAAGAGGTCTCACTTCCCCTGGAAAAACTACAGTCAGACAGGAAACACAGGCAGGGATGGCTAGCTCTGGAGATTCAGACATGTGTTCTTGCCCCTCTCCCATTAGGAGCAGGCAGCCAGCACAAAGAAAACCCCTGATGACACCAGGCCTGAGCAGGCGCCTTGGGCCTAGCTAGCCTTTAGTGCAGGCCTCGTGGTCTCTCTCCTCGCTAGTCTGACAGTCACAGGGGTCAAGCTCCAGATAGTTGTCCCAACATCATCTCTTCTCTGAGCCTGACTGCCTTGTCCAGACTGTTTGCTTTCTTCTGCCACCCCCACCCCTTGGCATCAAAGATACCACTAGGAATTGTCATTGTCTATTTCAGTTTCCTTGAGGGCAAGAATCTGTTTCCATTCACTACAAGGGGGCCTAGCATCTAGAACAGTGGTTCTCAACCTTGGCTGCACATTAGAATCACCTGGGAATCTTTTTAAAATCCTGATTTCTGGGCCTCATCCTCCAGGAATTCTGTTTCTTTGTTATGGGGTGGGGCCACAACATTAGTAACAAAGAGAGAGACTTTCCGGAGGATGAGGCCCAGAAATCAGGATTTTAAAAAGATTCCCAGGTGATTCTAATGTGCAGCCAAAGTTGAGAACCACTGATTTAGAAGATCAGCTCCAGAAAAATCAAAGACAAAAGCCTAGGGCTCCAAAATCCCCACAGATGTGCTTGACTGGCATGCAGAGCTCTCCAGGGAGCCTCCACCTGGGTCACTTGCCCATAACCTCCCTTCATTGAACCATCTCATCCAGAAGACACCAGAAGAAAAGTATGCAACCAGAGCCTAGAGAGGCTGAGGCTGTCTGTCACCTAAGGTCTGAGCACAAAGGTTTCTCCTTAGAGGAGAAACACAGATCAAAATGACATGGGCCTGAGGCCCATTTGCAGCATAAACCTAAGGCTTAGAGTCCTCTTGGGATTGGCTAGCCAGCCACTGCCTGGAGAGTTGGGTACACTGAGGCTGTCCCACACCAGCACTATCACCCACAGCAAAATTCACTCCCTGCATTTCTATTTCCTTATCTGTAAAATGGAATGGTACTCCAAACTATCCCCTAGGGCCCTTGTGAGGATTAGCCAAGAAAACATGATGAAAAGTGTCTGTAGCACTCAGCAGGAAGTCTGTAACTGCTTTGTATTCACTTATGTCAGTATCTGGAAAAAAAAAAGTATAAACATCACCCTGGTTCCTGTCATACCACCATGACAACTGGCACCAAAGCACTTCTCCACCCCTCTTTAGGGCCAAACTACCACCCTAAAAACCAGCCCTACTTCACAAGTGGTGAAGTGAGAGGGCATTGCTAGGCCAGAAGGAGGTCTACGTGAGTGCTGTGCACTTCCCTGAACCACAGCATTGTTCCTTTAGGGCCAAGGACACCCGAGGGTAACAAATGTCTCTCTCTCGTGCTCTCTCTCTCTCTCTCTCTCTCTGGCCCAGCTACAGGCACTGCATGGTATCTTGGCAAGGCCAGCAGGAAAAGGCCAGACACCTGAGGCACGGGCAAGAGGCCAGGTGGCAGGGGACCCAGCTGGCAGCCCAACCTTCCCCAGAGTCCACAGAGCGGGGCTGCAGGGATCAGAACCCATCAATGAGGTGCACCCATGAATGGGCAGAAGTGGGCCAGCTTCAGTAGGGGGCTCCATTTACAAGATCTGAACTCCACACAAGTGTCTACTAGTCTTTTTACCCAGACTCATTCAGTCCCGGTCTCCAAAATCAAATGGCCAGGGCCCCTTCTCTGTCTTTTACCTTTGCTCCAGGCCTCTCAAATCCCAGCTACTTAATGAGATCTGGCTGACCCATCCTCAGGGGCTAGGGTTATCAGGTTCTCAGCATTCCTCCCTCCATCCCTCAAAGACCTGAGACACCATGGACTAGGCTCTTGCCTTTACACACTACTTCCTTCTGCTCAGGACCCAACTTACAAACAAGAAGTCAGGCATCAGATGTGCGAATCTCCATATACTTATTCTACGCACTGTTCTACACGGTAGGAGGGTGGGTGAGTTAAGTGGGTTGGAGCAAAAAAAAAAAAAAAAAAAAAAAAAAAAAAACACACCAAAAAAAACAACAACAGAAAAACATTTCTTCCCCTTTTCCAGGTAGTGACCTAAAAAAAAATTTTTTTTAATCCTCACCAGAGGATATGTTTTGTTTTTTTAAAATTGAGTTTAGAGAGAGAAAAAAGGGAGAGAGAAACATTAGTGTGAGAGAGAAACATCAATTTGTTGCCTCCCATATGCACCCGACTGAGTATATGCCCTGACCAGGAATTGAACCCACCACCTTTTGGTGCACAGAATGACACTCCAACCCTGCCAGAGGTTGGGCAGTGATCTAAGTGAAATGTTAACTCAGTCTGGTCCCCATCCTCCGCTCTTCCTGCACCCTCACCCTCTCCTACAGCCACATTCCACCTCTACAACATTCACAGTCAGGGTCTAGGCCAGGGGTGGGCAAACTTTTTGACTCGAGGGCCACAATGGGTTCTTAAACTGGACTGGAGGGCCGGAACAAAAGCATGGATGGAGTGTTTGTGTGAACTAATATAAATTCAAAGTAAACATCATTACATCTTTTTTTTTTTTAGTTTTATTCATTCGGCCCGCGGGCCGTAGTTTGCCCACGGCTGGTCTAGGCGGGCAGTCATAATCTATTGTTATTAATAACAGTTCACATTTATTAAACGTTCATGTGTCAGACACTGTGCTAAATGTTTCACATAAATTTTCTCATTTAATCTTCATAGCAACCATACAGTATATATATTGGATCTATTATTACTCCCATTTTAAAGATGATGAAAACTAAGGCTCAGAGAAGGGGGGGGGGGGCACAACTAAACCGTGGGCTTCAAAGCCTTCAATTAGTGCTGCCTTTATTGCCTGCTGGTCACATGAATGGTTAAAATGCAGCCTGTTACCCAGGACATCTCTATCTGGGAACCTCCAGCCAGTGCCACAAATTCACAGGGAGCACCACAGAAGCAAGGAAGGGGCTGTGCCTAGAGCCTGACACCCAGGTGATGCTCCCCAAACTATCTCAACCCTCAGCAATGTCGGTCCTTTCTCCACTTTGAAATCCTGTCTCTCAAATCACTAACATTTTCACCCAGTGGCTGACAGGACCCATGGGGGCATGTGGGAAGGCGGCTGCCGTTTCTAAGTTCAGCAGCTGTATCAGATCTGGAGTTTGTAGTTGAGGATGGCTGCCTCACCACAAGATTTCCTTCCTCCCCATCCCCTCACCCCTCTCCGAGCATACACGCTATGCCCAAGGAGGTCTGCAGGACCTTCCCCTGGGGGTGTCACTTCCTGACCACCCTCCTCCACATGGACCTAGTTCTGAGCCTGGCTCCCTCTAACACTAGTGGGGGGGGGGGGGACGGGGGGCGCGCAGGGGGAAACTTGCAGGAAGCAACCCACAGCACAGGGCTGCAGACACATCATCTCTCACACCTGGAGGCGGGGAGCGGAGAACAGAGCTGGGTGCCCATCGGGCCACAGCACAGGCATGCACTAAGTGGAATAATGCTCTGACAGATCTGCGATTTTTCAAAATCTCCCCACTCCCTCCTCCCACTGAGACCGGTGCAAAAGCAGCCCTGCACAGGCCTGGGAGGGCAAAGAGGCAGGAAATCAAGAGGAGTTGTCCCTGGCTCCCTGCAGCCCCAGGAGAGGACACAAAGACCCCAAACTGGCCGCCCATTCTTGCAAAACGTCCCTGACTCCGAGGCTGGCCATGCTGGAGCCAAGCTTTCAGAAGGCGCTTCCAGGGGCCAAGGGGGGCCTGAGGACTCTTCACCACCCACACAGACCTCCACTATCCAGCTTCAGAACAAAAGCAGCCGCAGGAAGAAGCAGCCACTGCCTTCTCGCAGGCTGTGCCCAACCAAACGGGACCACCAAGAGGGAGATGAGCAGACTAGGTTCTGCTCCAAAACAGCCTGACCCTCACACCTACCCAAGTTCTCCTTGGAGAACCCCAAGGTTCCTTTGCAAGGAAGAGTCCAGCCCGGGGCCCGAGAGTCTCACCACGACTGCTCTTTGGGGAGAAAGGGTTTTGGGAGGCGACAGGCCCCAGGTTCAGGGGCTGGGTGGAGGCTCTGCCTCGGCTCCCCGCACCCCCGAGCCCACCAGCATCCCCGGGGTGGGGGGGGACCCGATGCCTGCTCCGCCGCCCTCCCGCCCACCAGGGCTCTGAGGCCTCTGGGCCAAGCGCCAGAACACGCCCCCTGGCTGGGGGAAGGGGTGTCTGCCAGGCGACCGAGGACCCGGATGCCCCCACCGGGGTGACCACCCGGGCCGAGGCGGGGGCGGGGCCCGGAGGGGGTGGGGAGGCCCGGAAAGTTTGCCGGAGTGGCGCCCGGGCCCCTGGATCCCCGCGGGCGGCAGGGCCCGGGCGGGGGCGCACTTACTGGCCCCCTCGATCTTGTCGGCGCCGCGGCTCCACGTGATCTGCCGAGTCTCCAGCTTGACCTGGAAGGTCTTCCGCTCGGGCCGCTGCGACTTCTTGGAGTAGAACAAAGTCATGACGGTGCCCACCTCGAGGCTGCGGCAGAGGTGCAGCACCTCGGCGTCGGAGGGCGCGCCGGGCCCGCAGCCGTTGGCGCAGGGGGACGCGGCGCCCGCCATGGCTTCGGCGCTGGGGCAGCGGAGGCGACGGTGCGGGCTCGGCCGGCGAGACGAGGCGGCGGCGGCGGGGGCTGAGGCTGGGGCGGCCGGCGAGTGGGCCCGGCGACGGCTCCTGCGGGCGGAGACAGGGCGGGGCCTGAGGGGAGGGCGGGCGGCTCTGCAGGCCCCGCCCCGGCCCGCGCGCCGGGAACAAAGACGCCCGCGAGCCCGTGGGGAGGACCCCCGCCCGCCGTCCGCCGCGCCTGCGCCCCGAGACCCCCGACAGGCCCGGGCGGGGACAGGGGCGCTGCGGTGGCGGGGCGCGCGCGCCGCTCGCAGTCCAGCCCGCGGTCCCCGTCCCGCAGCCGCCTCACGCGGCCACGGCCGATCTTGTCACGCGCGGCCGCCGCGCGCCGGCCCGGCAGTCGGCCGCAGCCGCCCCGTCCCTGTCCCGCACAGGCCCGGCCGCAGCCGTGTCCTCACCCCCGCTCCTCGAGCGCCGCCCGCGAAGCCACCGGAGAGAGAGGTGAGGGCGCTGAGCGGCCCCCGCGCCCGCCAGTCAAACCTCGTCGCTGGGCGGGCTGCCCGGCGCGGTGAGCCAGGCGGGCCGCCTCTCCCGGCGGCTGCGGGTCCTCGGCGCCCCCTCTCCCGGGAGGAGGGGGCGGGGCCGCCTGCGGATTGGCCGCCGGGCTCTGATGGACAGCAGGGCTGTCCCGCCCCGCCTTTCTGGCCGCGCAGGGCTGGCCCACAGGCCGCAGACCCACGCTTGTCTCGCCCCTACGGCCCGTGGGTCCAGCCTGAGAGGGTCCGGCCGTGGGGAGAAGCAGCCCAGGCCGAGCAGCCCCTACGGGGCCTTGGCACCCGCGGCCCCGGTGGCCTGCGGCGCTGGCCTTGGCATCAGCCGCTGCCCGCCACCCCGCGCTCTCCGCGTCCGCGTGGTAGCACACGGTACAGGTCCTCCTTTAAGGCGCCCCTCCTGCAGATGCTCCCCTGCGCCTTGGCTTTCCTGGACTGACTCCCTTGTTGTCCTCTCTATCCGGCCGCTGCCTTCCAACCTCAGAAGCCTCCTGCGGGCCGGGTCCTGAGCCAGTTCCCAAGACGCCCTGACCTTTCCCGAGGCTTCACAGCCCGCCCCCGCCCTGACCCTGGCCCCCGCAGCGCCCCACCTGTGTCTCCCCTGCATCCCATTGCCTGCTCCACGTCCCCACTTAACAGGCACCTCGCTCCCTCCTCAAACTGCTCCTCTTACAGCCTCCACTTTCTTAGAACATGGCACGAAACTCTAAGGTGCTTAGGCCAAAACCCTTGGGGGTGTTCTTGATTCCTGTCTGCCTCAACCCCACAGCAGTTCATTCTGCTCTCAGATATCTCCACTCCACAAGCCCAAGCCCATCTTTTCTCACCCAAACTTGACCCTCTTTGGTCTTCTAAAGGAAATTAAATGATTTACTAGCTCCAGCCTCAACCCCTCCGTGACTTCTCATTATCCTAAAATCCACACTCCCTACCTGGCCCAGCAAGATCTGTGTGGCCGGGTCCCTTGCTCTCCCACTTCCTCTCTCACCACCTCCCCTTCACTCTCCATCTCCAGCCACAAGGCCTTTTTGTGTTACAGGTGGACCTCATCTTAGTGCACTTGACTTCATTGTGCTTCACAGGTGTTGTGATTTTTTTACAAACTGAAGGCAAGACCCTCCATGACTCGCTTTATCATGATACCTGCTTTATTAAGGTGGTCTGGACCGGAACCTGCAATATCTCTGAGATATACCTGTATCTGAATAATTCATACTCTTTGTCTTCCTGAAGCCATTCTCTAGATTCGCCCCTGCAGTCTAGCTGCCCCTGTCACAGAGAACTGCCCAAACCAAAGACATCTGAGATCACAGTGGAGCCGGACAACCAGATATTGAGCCAGAGCAGAATTATTTATACCACATTTCAGAGGTGAGGCCCAGCAGAGCATGCAGCAGATGCCAGAGAAAGATCCCGGTCTTCTGGGATGTGTGTGTGTGTAGCAGTGACCGGTCAGGCAGCCCACCCAGCTGGGTGGTGATGGTGGCGTGCTGCCTCTGTGTCTTGTTGCAGTAGTAACGTGTGTGTATGTGTGTTTTGATTCCCTCAAATGCAGCCCCTAAGGAAGCTGAGTATTCAGCCTGATGTCCAGTGCCTGGTGCTAGGAGGCTTCAGCCACCTGAGGAGGCGGCAGGCTGCTGAGATGGACTGCCACCTAGCGACAAGCCTTTAAAGTGGGAGGGAGGGAGGGAACTGAAGTTGACCTAATACCGGACCCCAGTGCAGCAGTGCTTGCACACGTGTCTCACCTGATCCTCATAATTACCTTCTAATCAGGGATTATTGTCCCCAGTTTAATGATGAGGAAACAGACTCAGAGTTCTGTAACTTGCCCCAAGGCCACACAACTAACAAGAGGTGATTTGAACCCAAGTCTGTCTGACTCCATGCATTTGCTGCCTCAAAGAGAGCCACTGGCTTAAGTAGGCCAATAGTCAGTGGGCATGGAGGCTAGCTGGCTAATCGGTGTAGGTGAGGGGAGGCCTTGGGTATGGCTGGCCCAGGGCACATGGAACTCAGAAACATAAGTGCTCATAAAGTGTGGCTTGAGCTAGCTTGGGCTTAAGATGGTGCTGCCCCTGCCTGCAGCCCCTGAGCTTCCCTGTGTGGCCGTTGGTGGCATGAGTTGGGAAAACAAGAGAAACCCAGCACCAGCCCTCCAGGAATTCATAGGCATTAAACAGACAAACACTTGTTATGTAAGGTAAATTGGGATGAGAGCTACAGAGGAAAAGAACAGAGGGCTATGAGATAAACATTAGAGAGCCCTACTTCAGATCTAGTAGGTAAGGAGGACCCCTCTAGGACCGAACAAAGGCCCAAAGGATGTGAGTAGATGGCCAGGTGAAGTTTTAGGGGTAAGAAAGTACTTTCTAGAGGTAACAGCATGTACAAAGGCCCTGAGGTTAGAAAGAGCTTAGTGGATTGAGGAACAGAAAGAAGGCTAGAGTTTACTAAGTATGGGGGAACACTTGGAGAGCATTTGAAGTAAGGAAGACAGGTGTGGGCTGAATGGGGACCCTCCCTGCCTATCTGACTTTGTCCATTTTTCTAGGAGGACCCCTCCTAAGTGCTGCAGCTCTCCTTGAGCTTCTTATGCCAGCTTGGGCAGCCTGTGGGCTGTAATGTACTTTTAAAGTCGGCTTTTCTATTTTCTGAAGCTTCCATAATGCAGCTCATGCTTCCTTGCTTTTGCTTGTGTTTTGGTCTCTGGGGCCGGGCCCCCAGGGGCTTCAGAAATGCCTGCCAACAGAAGCTCATGTTTTCAGTCGGCTGCCAGGCCCTCCTTCAGGAAACAGGGCCCCACTTCCTCCTGGGACTTCTGAGCCAGCATCCCAGGCCTCAGGTGCCTCCCTCCACCAAAGGAGTTTCAGGAAAATCAGGGCGCACAAAGGGTGTGGCTGATATGGGCTTTCCCCAGCTCAGCATATACTAGTATATGGGTACGTGGGTGTCATTGGCAATGCGTGCAGCTGCACTGGCTGGGAGGGAGCAGCCTAGCACCCACTCAAGGCACATGCCCGTGACATCACCCAGGCTAGTCCTGCTTGGGCCTGTTTCTGCCAACACTCATGCTTCAATATGCCCGGCCCCCACCAATACCTGTGCCTGAGGTCTGGGGAGGTGTCTCAGCCCACATGACCCTCTGGCGTTGTGGGCCTGACCTCCCAGGTATCCATTACTAAACATTTAGAATAGTACTTAGCATATAGTAAGCCTAATAGAACAGCTGCACTCACATTGTCTCATTTACTCCTCATTGAGGTAAGTACTCTCATTATCCCCATCCTACAGATGAAAAACCAATGCATGGAGAGACATGTCCAAAAACACAGCTAGGAGGTGGCAGAGATGGGATTCAAACCCAGGCAGCCTGGCTCGAGTCAATTCTGTGTTACCTCTCATGTAGGTATGAACATTCTATTATATATCCTCACCCCTTTGCATAATACCCATACCCGCTGTTTTCTATTTTTAGTTATTTGGTGAAGTGCTGTCACAGGTTGGGTTTCTTCGGGAAGCAGATTCTACAGAGGTTAGTGTGCAGAATGTTTATTAGGGAGTGCCCTTGGCTGGGATCAGCTCTCTGGAAAGGAGCTCCGGTGGCGCAATTGGTTAGCGCGCGGTACTGATACCACACTGTGGAAGGAAGAGGCACAGGGAGAGTCCCCAGGGAGCCCTGGCCAAATGGCTCTCTGCTGCTGAGGTGACCTTAGGGAGCTGACAGCACTCTCAGCAGTTGGGGCAATAAGTGCTTCCTTGTTGGGGAATCTGGGTGGCACACATCACTGTGCCCACCACAAATATATTCTTTTCCAGCCCTTTAAAAAAAAGTTTAGGGTACTTAAAGGGCAAAAATATTGTAGTACAGAAATGGGATTTGCAGTTATAAAAGGAGAACTATAGTATGGTTAATATGGGTTAACATAGCTGCTGTGACTGAGAATCAGATGTAGCTGAGCTTCCTCGTAGCCAAAGCAAAAATTCTTTCTATTCTGATAACTGATTAACTTAGGGGAGAAAAAGTCTCCTAGGGATAAACTATAAAAGAAGTTTCTCATATGGACACTTATTTGTTTGAAATAGTGGAGAATGTTCTCAACAAATTTATAGCAAATGCTGCCAGTTTATTTGTTTCTGGTAATAACCATGAATAAATATAGAAGGTATAACGGTATAGCTTAGTGGAGCCCCTTCTACCATTGATTTATAGATTGGCAGTGTCTAATTTGATCCATACATACAACTTTATCCCTTTTCTTTAATCTTTAAATTTTACTCAGTAGTTTGTTAGATGTCTAACCAGCCCTTCTCAAGGGTTTTTGAGCCAGCCTGCACCTTGGTGTATAGCCAGTACTTACTTAGTAAGTACTCACCTCAGTGCACCTTGAGCTCCACCCCACCTTTGGTCTAGGCTCCTTGACCTCTGGCCCCAATATCTACCTATGCCTCCTACGTAGTCGTTGGACCTGACACTTCAGTGATGTCCTGCTTTCCTCCTCACCTGGAATGTACTCTCAGCCCCTTAAGAACCTCATGTTTTCTATCATTCAAGGCAAAACAAGGCCTGGCCCAGCCACATCCAGGAACTCTGCTTTCTCTGCAGACCCTTCGTTGCCTCTGCTGATGGGTCTCTATACTGGGACCCAGAGAGGCAGGAGAGCTGGGCTCCAGATGTACCTTCTTCAGGGAGGTGGCAGGGATATGTAATTGCTTCACTAAAGGAAGAGAAGGGGAGAGTCCTTGCTAGCCACTGGCCCAAGCTAGGGCAGACCTATTTTTCTGCTTTTCTCCTAACAAATACTCCTGGTGCCTCCTCTATAGCAGTAACACAGCAGAGATGGATCAGACCAAGTTTCCACTCCAGTAGGGTCACAGAAATGCCAAACAGGACAGTTCATTGTGGTAAAGGCCCCTGGAACCTTGAGAAGGGACACAGACCTTACCTGACCTAGCCCTTTTATGGCTGAGGGGTTGGAGAAAAGTGAGAGACAGAGTATATGCCTGAATATATGGCAGGTCCAAATATAAGGTGATCACTCTTTTTTCCAAAAATGTCACTTCAGGTGTTCTGTGGCTTTTTTGCAACTAAAATATAAACATTTTTAGAGATGCAGGATTCAAATGACCACATACAAGTTTTAGTTACACATATCTTAAATCACATATTATTTGAAACAATATATTAACTTGTGAATGTTACTTTCTTGCTCTTACTTTTGCAGTAATAATGTTCGAACTCTTTATATGAATCTTTCATTTCTTTGTAGAAATCACTAGAGCCACGTTTGAGTCATCTAATTTCTGAAAGCACATCACTTTGCTGCCTTCTAAGTTGAGAGCACTTTTGAAAAATCAACTTTACTGAGAAATAATTTACCTATAATAAAATGCATCCATTTTAAGTGTAAAGTTTGGTGAGCTTTGGCAAATGTATACCACCCAATCAAGATGTAGAACATTCCCCTGCCCCCGATTTGGCCATCACTAATCTACTTTCTGTTACTACAGATTAGTTTTGCCCATTCTAGAATTTCATATACATGAAATCCTTAGTTATATGCACCATATGTCTAAGTCCAGCATAAAGTTTTTGAGATTTGTCCACATTGATGTAGAGAGAATACTTTTTGAATTATGTGATGCTATCACTGGGAATTTTAACTAAACCTTTTTGTATAGCATTTGTCCAAAACAGGTTTTTTTTCCATTCTCCCATAGCTATATATTAGTATTCAGTTGGTCAGACTACCCACAGACCCCTTCTATAATGTTTTGACACAAATCTTAACTCTATGTTATCCATAAATATTTGTGTTTTTCTAAGAGTTTTTTAAAAACTATATATAGAACTATAGTACCATTATCAAACCTAAAAAAAAATCAACACCATATTGCTATTTAAAATGACCGTTGAGAGGTTTGTTTACACGTAATACTTAGGATTGTGAGAAATAATTACTAAGTGTGTGGTCAATTTCTTTGCCTCCTTGTTTACTGATTCCGTCATGGGACTACTTATAATCATCCAAAAGTAGCTTGGCTGAGGTCATTTCAGGGTAATGTGTTTTCTCCAAAAAAGTGCTTTTTGGTTCACAACAAGTTTAGAGAGCATCCTATTATAGGAGAGATTTTGTAAGGACCCAAATGTAAGTAAACTCTTTTCTCAGATGATTTCAGAGTCATTAATTTATTGGACTTGTGAGAAAGGAATGAAGGGTGATGGCTCCCCTGGGTTCCGGTTGAGGGACAGTGGATGGGTTTCACCATCCGGCTTCTAGTAGGTACTGAGCTCAGTTCTAGAGATTTGAGATTGAGTAGCCCGTGACACCCCCGCAAAGATGTAGTTGGCAGTGTGTCTGGAGCTCAGGAAAGGGGTCTAGGCTGGAGCCTTCACGTTCAGGTGTGAATGAAACCAGGCCGTGTGAGAAGAGGAGTAACTGAGAAGCAACAGCCTGATAGAGGTAGGAGCACAACCAGGTGGTGTTGTGGAAGCCAGGGAGAAGTGCTTTAAAGGGGGTGGTCACGTATTGTATAACTTCACATTACGTGAGATGTCCAGTAAAGATAATTTACAGAGAAAGTAGACTAGTGAAGGTTGGAGGTGGGGGGTGGGGAGGGATCTTACTGGGTGGATATTCAAAAACTGATTTATAGTGATGTCTGCACCACTCATTTGAAATAGGTGTATTTGGTGTATTTATGATATGTAAAATATACTTCAATGGAGCAGTTTAAAAAATAGTAGTCAACTGCCCATTTACTGGTTTGGTCCCTCATTCATTGGTGAATGTGGTCAGATGGAGAGGGGAATTGGGGGCAAGACAGAGCAGAAGCTAGTTGCAGTGGGTGGGGAATGACAGGGTTGTGTCCGTGACTCATTCCAGGTGCTTGTTTGTGAAATGGAGAGGGAGGGGGTGGTGGCTGGAAAGGGCTGGGAGTTGTGGTTTATTTTTTCATGTTTTAAATGTGTAAGAGGCCTCAGGTAGATTTGGCAGGGAGAACGGACAGGACCTGCTGACCAGATGTGGGGGGTAAGAGGGAGAGTAGCCAAGGAAGCACCAAGCTGTCTGGCACGGGAAGCACAGTACATAAATGCAATCTCCCTTTGCCCACAGCCGGACTCAAGCATCACAGAAAGGCCTGACAGGAGGAAGTTGTTATAAAAAAAACATAGCTGGGAGGAGGGAACCAATCAGTGGGTAAACAGGCAAGGGAGGCAGTCTCCTGACTCCATGCTCAAGCATCCTTCAGGGCCCTTCACATCTGGCCTTTCCCTACCTGTTCAGCCTCTTCCCTCATGCCCAGTAGTCAGGCCAGCTTCCCATTTTCTGGCTTCCTCTTTGAGTCCTGTTGCCACCATTCAGGATGCTCTTCACAGTTGTTCTTAACCAGCACCTAGTTGCCCTACATCTGCCCCCAGAAAACTGGAAAAGGTAGGCACAAGTTCCTGCTCATTAATAAAATCTTCTGCCTGCAAGGCCTCCTGTCCCTGATTTCTGGTTGTGGACCAAAGTTTGTGTCCTAGTTGTGGCAGGTCCTGCTCAAATCCCAACCAAACTTGAGGTCCACTTTCTTATCACCCACCCACCAGTCATAAAGCGTATCAGTTGGGCACTGAAAGATCCTCTCTGTTGCTATTCCTCACACTCAGTGGTCTAGCTACACCACCAAATTTAAAAACACCTCGCTAGAAAAAACAAACAAAAAACCTGGCTGCAACCTCTAGCTCCAAAGCCACGGTGGCTACTTAACCTCCTTTATTCCCTGGAGTGAATGCTACTCCCCCCCCCCCCCCCCCCACTGGCCAATGAAATGCAGGCTGCCAAAAAAGGAGCCCCGCCCTCCCCCAATTATCTGCAGTGGGCCCAGGCCCTGGGAGTTGAGAGACTATCAAGGAGATGGCTCTGCTCCAGAACTTGCACTTGCTAGCAGGAGGGCATACAGCCAAGTGACCAATTCTGACCACTCTGGCCTTCCTGCTCCATTGGACCCAGAGATCTCATCCTTCACCCTGAATTCCAGACTTCGCTGTAACCTCGGATGAGGAAAGGAACAATTTTTATAGGGTCCCTGGTCAGCCTGGGTACCAGAGCACTGGGAAATGGTCACAGATCACCGTCTTTCAATCAATCAATCAATCAATCAATCAATGCAGTGAGAAGTCTGCATTCCACCAGGGAGAGGGCTTCTGGGATCCAGTGTCCTAACTGGCTTAGTACTTTCAATTCCTGCCCTCCTATTAAGTCTAGCCACACAAGCAAACCCAAAGCTCCCTACTGCTTCTGGCCAGCACACATGGAAAGTGCCCAAAATCTGCCTCCCAAATACACTTGCTCTAGCCTTCTAATACAGTCCCTGCACCCCATCTGTTCTTGTAGACTTTCTGCACTCTCCCTCACTTCCTGGGCCTGCCTTCATTCTAAGGGTGTTCACTTTGACTCTCCTTTGACCTATACCCATGGCAGCAGGACTCCTGGGGAGGGACCCACTCTTGCTGAACAGAGTAGCCAGACCAGACCACTTCTGTACCAAGTAAGTCCCAACCCCAGAGTCCCACTCTGGCCTGGAGCCCTAGGTAACAAAGAGGCAGACACTTAGTTTCCGTTAGGTTGTAGGAATTTATTTTAAATAACCTACAGTTGATTAAAAGGGAATTCATGATAAAAATAGAAGATACTTGAGGAGAGATGTGGGAAATGGACTCTGCACGCACACTAAACTAACAATGCCTCTAAAACTAATGATTATAGCAAAAAATGTTTTCACATTAAAATTCTGCTTTTTATGTGTTCTTTTTTTCCATTTTTTTTACACAATTACAAAAGAAAAAATAAAAGCCCTAAAATCTTGATTACTTTTCTTTTTTTTGGACCAAATACTCATTTTCCTCTAGACTTATTGACCTGTGACACTTTTTATACAATAAAATCTTTCAGGTGAAAGACTGGAGTTTAAAATGAAAAAGATGTTATCTGAAAGGGTACAGAAAATGCTCAGAACAAAGGATGATGGGAAAATGGTTTCAGTCACTGATTATTTCATTATCCTTAGACTCACTCACCCCTCATCCCTCCCCGACCCCAATCTACACGATCTTTAAGATCAAGAAAAAGGTTTAAATATTTTAAAATAATTAAAAAGAAATAAAAATTCACATTTAAAAAGGAACACTCAAGTCAGGAAATATTTTCCCATCATGCTTTTCTGTGAACAGGTGTCTGAACCAAAACACTGCCGATGTCACAACTGCTTCAAGTTTAATGAAAATTGATTCCCATGACAATAGATATTGACAACTCTTAACAGGTGCGCCGGGTTTTTGTTCTACTTAATTTTAAATTCCTGAAATGGGGGAGAGGGGAGGGAGTTTAGGAATTCATTTCTATTAAAATATAGAAGTTATTGCAAAACCCTAACTGTAAAAACGCACCAATATAATCGGATTTTGTATACAGTAGCTAAGAGAATCCAAATGTGTCAGTGAAACAGTGAATTTGCCTGGCAGAACTCTGACAAATTCCCATCCACTTGCCCTCTTGAAAATAAAAACAAAATTCAAAACAAATCATACAGCTAGAATTTTGATATCTGAAATATTTTTAAATAAGTTGTCCATAGGACAACTGGCTCAGCTCTCCCTTATAATATCTTCAGGTTTATCTTTTCTCAAAGATGTTGGTTTGTTAAGACTTGCTGCCTCTCCCCCATCAGGTGTGAGGGCAAGCGAGGCTCACAGTTTATCCATCTTCTCCAAACCACACTGTTCCTTTTCACAGAACTGCTCCTCAAGACTGGCTAGAACTCATAGTCCTCGTCAGCCATGTCGATAGCCCAGGCAAACTTCTCCCGCTGGGTTTTGTTGTAAATTTTCTCAATTGGGACCCCCCACTTCTTGCACCTGCAAACAAGGGAGAAAAAAGGGGGGTTTAGTGTCTCTGGGAGCAATAGCTCAGACCTGGGGCCAAGGCTTGGATGTGCTGCCTTCTCCTTCACATGTATCTGGTGAGAACGAGAAAGTAGGTGCTACTACAAATGCGCAAATGAGAAAGATACAGATAAAAAGACCAAAATAGAACAATTATGTTCTCATGCAGCTAATGAGCACAAAGCTGAAAACTGAACCCAAGCATCTGGCTCAAGTCCATAGTGCCTTGCAAACTAACCAATCCCCTGACACCAAACAGGGCAAAAGAGTAGGAAAGGGTACAAGAGTAGGATGGAAAAAGGCCTAGAAGAGTAGGTGCCACAAAGGATGATTCTTCTACCTAGGCCCAGAACTTAGCAACTCAAGGTAACTAATAAGCATCTTCATAAAAGCCACTTATTTGGGGCTATTATTTTATGACTCTGTGTGTGTGTGTGTGTGTGTGTGTGTGTGTGTGTGTGTGGTAGGGGATGGAGGAAGTGAG